ATCCGGGTGGTCCAATACTTTTTCCATCTTGCATAAACATTCTGAGATATCATATTCCTTGTCACACAAAGACTGCTTTATTTTAAGGTCAACACATGTTTAAATAAAAACCAGCTCATGGAAAACAAAACAACTGCTCCTCACATCCTGCAACTGCAAGTTCATGTCCTCATCACATGTCAAACAACACATCAGATAATACAAAGGACATGTGACATGTCTTATTATAAAACACTGTGTGCTGGGAATTTGTCCTCTGTATGCAACAGACGATCATGGCAGTGACAAGACGTTCACCCCTGGAGGAGGGTGACAACCACTGTGATGCAGACACACCCCCCCTGAGCCCCAGAATCTTATTACACCCACTTCCCGAACTCAGCTTGCTCAAAGCTCTCTCTTTTCTCCCCTTTTTGTGCGTCTCGCATCACTTAAATCCATCCCCTGATGGTGCGTAAGAGGACACTCTGCCCTCCGCCTCATCCTTTCTTCTGCAGAAAGTGTTGCCTAATTACTGATTGCAGTTTGACTCTGTATATACGTTTAATCAAGAGTAGCGCATGGTGCAGCCAGGGTTTGCGCACTCCACCCGAATTTGCCGGGAAATAATAATACTCATTTCTTTTATGTGAGGGCATTACTGCAGGCCATGGTTGCTTGATATTGTGTTACCAGTGTAGTATACACAGTGTTGCTGTTGTGTGGCAGGACTGTAGTGGAATAAGAGAGCTCTGGTGTTGTCATTAATACTTAATGGCAGACTGAAACGCCAATCACTGTGTTTCTGCCATCTGCAGGGCTCACAATTACAGAATGTGAACACGGACACCCAGGTTTTGGTTAGTGTGCAATTAGCTTTCTGCATCTGATACAGTCACGAGTCACAGGTCATGGCCAACAACTGCACCAGTCACCAAATACAGGAGGGAAAAGTCAGATAGGAAGTCCTGATACAAGCAGGTTCTAAACAAATTGGAACTACATAATAGAACAGTCCTGCAGCTTTAAATGAGGGAGGTACTTTATGTTTTCTCTTTGCTATGATGCAGATTTATGCTTTTAAATACAAATATTGTTCAACAATTTCTCACGAGAAACGTGAAAAGAGAGACAGAAAAAAGCCCTAGATAAAATCCAATGTAACCAAATGAATTCTAATCTAATTAGTGAATAGTCCATCTGTGAGTAAATCAATCTGAGCATCGTGAGGAGTAAGGAACAGAAATGTATGGACAAACTTTTAAAAAGTGTCAGGATATGACATTTTATTCCAAGCTATGAATATCTCTCAGAGCACAGGCAAATCTGAAAATGAAAATATTATGCTTCAACTGCAAACTTTTGAACACATTGCTCAAAGGAGAAAACAATATTTGTAGAAGAAGAAATAAGATTTTTTATTAGGAGTCGCTGATATCCTGAGCCAAGATAGAAAAATCTTTTTAAAACAGAGGCAAGAAAACAGCCAAAAGGAACTGTTTGCCACAAACCATATAGGAAAAATGCCAACATAAGGAAAACGGTGAGCTGATAAAATAAGAAGAACCTGAAATCGATGTGAGTTTGTGGATTGACCAAAAATGCAGACAAAATGGGAGCGTGGATCACATTGATCATTTTAATGAAAAACGTACACACCAGAGGGAGCCAGAGCAGAACAAACAAACAAAAACAGAAAAACAGGAAAGTAGCATGTTATAATGAAATTAGATGGGAGTAAGCAAAAAGTGAAAGGAGCAGAAGTGTTAACAAATCTTTTTTTTTTAATCAAATAAAAGAGAAAGACTAAGGAACACCCAATAAACAAACCTGAAAACACAGGATCCTAACAAAACTAACACTAAAGCAACGGATGAAACCTGAAGGGAAGACGGATCCAACCAAATACAGGGGAAGCCAGAACAGGCTTAATTAAAACATATTCATGAATTAAAATAACCCAACTTGTTCACACTAAAATCCAAAAATGAATCTTTGACAAGACTTGAAAAATCTAACCTGAGCTTGAGATATTTGCAAAGAGTAAAACGCAACAACTGTAGTCTATGTAAGTGCCAAGGTGGTAGAAGCACACCCTAAAGTAAAAACTGTAAAAGTTGGTTCTACAAAATCATAACTCAGAAGCACATTTTTAATGAACTTTTGTTAAAAAATGTTTTGCTGTTGTTATGTGACACAATGAGAAAAAGTACAAGATGTATGAATACTTTCATTAAAAAAAAGAAAATCCTCCTACTGCACTGAATATTTTTTACAAAGTCTTGTATCACCTCGAAATTATTAAAAAAATATTTCATGCATGTCAAACGGTGGAAAATTGAGTATATATCACATGTTCACAAAGAGCTATTAAAACAAATTGTGACCATGACAGAAAATTCAATCCCATTTTTACTGAGAAAAAATATTAAAGTGTTGAGTTTATAGCCAGTCAGGCATAAATAGTTCATTTTGCTTATATAAAGTGAACAGAAAAATAAAAATGACAAAAAGAAAGCATGAGAAAATATTGCTCAAAACCACCTTAAAGGAATATAAGCAAAATTATAAACAAATAAGGAATAGCTCACAGTTCTATTCAGTTCAGTAGTTCCTTAACAAAATATCTGCTATCATGACACATTGTTTTTAACACTTAAACTTGGAAAAAAATAGAAACAGCGAGTTAATGGAGTTTGTGAGGTAAAACAATGGAAAAGGACATTATTGAAATTGTTAAAATGACAGAAGAGGAGTGAAAATAAACGAGCACTGGAGCCCTAATCATGGAAACCTGGCTGAAAAACAATTGAAGAGAAGAATCACTCTCATCACCGAACCAATCTGCCCTGTCTTAAATACAAAATGCCTCAATTTGCCACTGAAGCAGCAGCAACTAATACGATTCTGTTTCCTCTGGCCTTTCATTTGTGCTTGATTTGTTTAAGGTTTAAAAACCTCTTACAGTCATTCCAGAACAAAAATTCCTTAGATTGTTGTTCCTTTTTTTTTTTTTAAAGAAACAATTAACATCTCAGTGCTATACGTTCACAATGAAGCTATTCTCAGATAACCTCTACAAGGTTCAAAGCAAATAAAACCAAAAACATATAAAGGTAGACGTAAATGTATAATGTCTCAAAACTGATTGTTTTTAGGGTTCTCACTGAAATATAATTTTACTAATTATACTGTGATTTAGCAACGTTATTGTTTGTTTTCTTCTGCAAGAATATATACACAGACTAAAAGATTAAGGAAGTGTTAGATTTGATGTTATTATGTATTAGTCTGGATAGATAAGCAAACAAGCAATTAGAGTATGACAAATTGTTTGAGATTCTAGGCATTCATACTCATCCTATTATCTAAATTATAAAGATCAAAACTTTAAGAATTAAATACACAAATGGCTGTTTAGTTTGTTTGTTGACATTGAAAGCACCTATTTTTTGTTTTAATTGTGAAGGCCAAAGGAAATATTTTTATGGAGCATCAACTTGTGAGAAATTCAAGTATGCAGGTTGAAATTCACAGTGTCCTGCTGCATCATGAGGGATTACGTTACTTTTGACGTGCTGGAGGTCATTTTCTCCAGCTCTGGTGAAAATGAAGAGGTCATCCACCCCCCTGAAAACCTTCTGGTTATTCCACCAAATATTGCTTTCTGAACTCTTCCTGAGTTAAAACATTAGTATTGTTGTTTCTAAATGGATATGAACTTGTCTTTTTTTTTTTTTTGCATTATTTGATATCTGAAGGCACTGCATTTTTTTATTATTATTTTGACAGTTTCTCATTTTCTGCAAATATGTAAAACTTTTTGCTTGGAATTTCAGAGACGTGCTGTCAGTAGTTCATGGAATAAAAGAATAATATTCATTCTACTCAAATATATACATATGAAAAGTAAAATCGGATCATTTTAAGAGGTCTCTTAATTTTGTCCAGGGCTGTATAAGGGCCAGGGCACTGCCAACATTGTCCCATTTTCATAATTCATGAAAAACATTAAAGTAATTCAGTAAATGTCTCGTACTCAAACTGTTTTAAAACTTCTATGCAATTGAGGGTCATAACTTGAATAATTTTCTAATGGAAAATTAGTAGGAACCATTTTTTACACTTATCCTACATTTATAGTGAATGTTAGGATAATCTGAAAGGCAATATTTACAGCACTTCAGCTCAACCTGTCTAGCCTTGGTCAAGCTGTTTTTTTACCAGGACATTTGATTTTTACATATGTGTTTATAAAGTTTAAATGAATAAAAATTTTCTGGAGACAAACCTTTTTTCAAGAAAAGGCCTCAAGAAATATTTGATCCATTAATTGCCCCTAATGTTTAAAAACTTCCATTGGCTTTGATATAACTTCCCATCAGTAATAACCTTATACGTGTAGGTCAGTTGCATTTTGCACTGAAACAGAAAAACAAAATGCAGAGTTTCCCATGCATCTGAACGCCTCGTGCTGCTGCACATGAATCTTCTGGGGCAGAAATAATGAGAGCACAACACAACAGAACAAGCCAACTACGCCTCAAGTTTCCCCAAGTATCAACTCTTAGTAACCTTGGCTTATGCAGATGAAAAGAGTCTTTCAGTCAGCTCCAGTAACAGAAACATGTTTAACGCAGAAAGCATGTTGAATCCTATAGAATTGTGTTGACTAGAGTTCAGTTTATTTTTTTAAATTTGTACAATAAGGACAGTTTTATCTACTTCTCTATCTCATATAAGAACACTGAAGGGACCCAGATGTGAATTCTTTACTCAATGAAATTTTCCCATGTGGCTTTGACTTCCTCGGTCATGTGCCAATGTGGGCTGAAATCTCCCTCCACCCCCGCAGAGCGTTGCTATCGCTGATTTCAAACATGCAGGAAAAGTTAGACGCAACAGGTTCGAGCATTCAGCAGCATCTATAAACCTTCTGTAGCGATTTGACCTTGGAAGAAAAGCGCGCTGAAGAGAAATGTAAGTTAAGTAAAAACTCCCGTAAGTTTGCTTAGTCTTACCTATGGTCGTGATCACCGTGATGGCAAAATAAAAGGAGCCTGCGAATTTCCACTGCACGCCGGCTTTGTGCGGTTTCAGCTGCAGCACCACCTTCTCCAGCAGGTCAAAGTCATCTTTGGAGAGGTTGAAGGTGCTGAGCAGCTCCTGCTTCATCATGTCCAGCGTCTCCTTCTGGGTTGTCTCCTCCTGAGACTCCAGCGCGTCAAAGATCGCGGCGCCCACGATCAGGTAGGTGAAAGTGCAGATGATGAGGGCGAGGGTCCGCACGTTCTGCCTCTTCATGGTCGGTGGTGTGGTGCGGTCGCGGTGCGGGGTCAGGGGCGCGGGCGGAGAGGCAGCGCGGGGCTGCAGGTCGGGCGGTTCGGCTGGCTCATGGCTGTGGCGGCTCTGGCGGAGCAGCGGAGCCCTCTGCTTGTTTTATGATGAAGAGGAGCTGTTCATTCAGCACCACTCCCCCCAAACACACCTCCTCCACCCGAACCCTCCCCTCGTCATAAAAAACCCCACCCTCCCTTTAGTATTCCCTCGTTTTCCAATGTTAGACGATTTCTATGTGTTGTTATTGTAATATATTTTTCATTCAGGCTTTCAAAAGTTTTATCAGTCTTCATTTAGTTTTTTTTTTTTTTTTTTTTTTTTTTTTTTCCAAAATGTATAGTATATTGTTTGGCAAACTATTTGAACTACTTTAACTTTGTGTGTGTGTGTGTTTCTTGACAGTGCTAACACAATATGTTCTTTTGATTTTACAGAAAAGCATCATTTTTAAAGGGAAACTATTTAAAACACACACAAAAACCGCACAAAATTTAAAAAGTGTGGTGTGCCCATAAATTTAACCCACATGACTAAATATTTTAAAGATCAAAACTGTATCTGTCAATACATCTACGAATTTTATGGGACATGTCTCTACCAGCTTTAGAGACTGACACTGACGCTCAGGCTCAGCTGAACTGGACGAAAAGCGCCTGTGAAAATTAATTTTCCAGTCTTGCATTCTCAAACTTGGTTTGAAGCAGCGATTTCGTTCTTTATACTTTTTTACCAATAGGTGGAGCCACCGGACCATACGTGTGTACATAAAGAAATGAAAATAAGAAACTAACAAAAAGTAAATTTTACAAAACAAAAATGCTAATAAGTTTGCAAAAGCAGATAAACGGTTATTTTTCTGTTGAAACCTTTATAACATCTGTTAGGGCCAAATTGCTGGAGTGCGTAACCAATAGTTTAACTTCTTTTATTTGGCACTTTCTGACGACAGGGGGATTTATTCATATGTTTACCAAATATATGAGTTTGTTTAAAATGGGTCAAATGAGACCCTTTTCCTTTCGCTTCTTAATGATGAAGAAGTGGAAGAATCTTTGTTAGTCTATCATTAAAAAATAATCCTAAAAAACTCTCTCACACACACTTCAAACTCTGTTTTAATATGACAGAAATGTAAAAATAATCAAAATGTATAAATACCATTTCAAGACACCATAAAGTTAAAGAGCACCCAGAGTACAGCTGGTGTCCTCTCCACCTTTTGCCACAACTTCCTTTACTGTTGTTCATTTTATAACTCCGCAGTTATTATTGAGTTATTAAAAACATATCAAAAACTTTGATTTAAGTTTAAATAATAAAAAAAACACAATATTAGCCTTTTTAGTCTACCAGGTTTTACCAAAAAATTCATGTGAAAAGTCTTTTGGAGAAACATTTTAATCCCTGAAGGACAATATGTCCCACTACTGTTTGGCAGACCAGTGACATAAATCATCAAAGTCACTGTGACTTTCAGACTCCTTAATTTCAGTCATTGGTGTGCATCACAAGAGAGTTTTATGGTATTAAAATGAATCTGGCTCAAACTAAGTCTGATGCTGCCAACATGAGTCAGTTCAAAGTTTCTAAAGAATGCAGTTGTTAATTTTAGCTCTGAGAAAAACTGAATTGTTTTCTTTCAAATCTCAGTTCTTCTCATTTCAGGGAAGTCAACTCTAACAGCAGGAAAGTTTGTTGGTTCAAAGAACTGAGATGGATTTGTTTTATGCTGAAAAGGAAAAAGGAAATGGATCATCATGACGCAAAAAGACAAATGTCAAGTGAAATATTGACTGTGGTCAAGTTTGATGACCTTTGGAGTCACTGGTTTCCAGTAAGTGGTTCGCTAATGCGTTGTGCGTCAGAGTGAGACGAAGTTACAATTTGTTGAGGATGCTTTGAAGGCAATTATGTTCATATTTTATTGCATTTGAATGCTTATTTTTATTTTTGGGGATTTTATTCTCAAACATTAATAGAAACATCTCTGGTTATAAATACGTAAACAAGCAAAATAATATTTTATGATTATTTCTTTACTTACGAATACATTTATGCACTTTAAGTTGAAAGTGCATAAATGTACATTTTCAACTTAAAGCTACCCTCAAATTTAACCTATGCATGTGGCAACCTGTTACTGAATAATAAATCTTGGCTAATCTTAAATTCCTCCCTTTGAGCTGGGACAGAAATAGCTCTACTTTCAATAAACAGGTCAGTCAAGTCAGCTGTGACTGAGCCTGCATAAATCCTCCCTTCATAAATTGGAGTGCTGAAAGCCTCAGTCAATCAATGCATCAATGCATCAATTAATCCATAACACTTTAATTCACAATTTGGCCTATCAGAAGAAAAGCAATTCAAAAGAAATTTTTTAAAAAGCCTAAAGACATAATAAATTGCCTTTCAGGCCATCACATGTATGAGATCAAACATTTTAGACAACGTGCAAACATATGAACTTTTTACGTCGGATCCATTCAAAACAATCGAACACACACAGAATGATGAAATGAGATTAAGGGAGTAGCCATAAGGCTTTCCGGTCATTGGAGTAGTGATGTCATTATTCAGAATAAAGCGAGGTTTGACAATGGAAAAGAGGAAATCGTAAGAGGAGCTTTATGAGCCCTTATTGTTCAAGAAAACTGAATGGAAAAGATTTTTTATTCTGAATTGACAAAAAAGCCTCTGATTTGTTTAACGTCTCCTGAAAGACACCATCTGATCAACTCAGTGTTACGCATGAAACACTCTCTTACACTTCATAGATTATCTTTTTGGCATCATACAGTTTGGAGAAAATCAATAGTTTAAGAGTCATAGAAGTTTATTTTGTTTCTGGAGCACCATCTTTATGTTGATTTGAATGTTTATTTTTTCATTTTTTATTTATTTTTTTTTTGTTAAAGGACCCAAAAACAAACACCTCTAAGCATTTTAGGAGGATGTTTCAAGTATTTGCAAATTTCAGTCATTCACAGTTATTAGTTAAACCCTGGCCAATAATGGGTGTTTCATGCATTCATCATTTATTCACTCCAATTTGTTTTCAAACAGCTCCATCTTTAGTGTCATTAAACCAAGAAACATAGTTCAAATTCAAGTTGTATTTCATGTTCTGCAAACAACCTTGTGGTATCTGTGTTATTGATGGCAGCATAGAAAAAATTTATCCTGTTGTTCCACCCAAACAAGTAATGACAGGATAAAGTATCACGTGGTTGGTGCTTTATTGAGGCTTCAAGACCCTACAAAAAGCCCTCTGCTGCAGTTTTTTCAGTCTCTTTAAACAATGTCATTGCCCAGGTGAACTGGAACTAAATATGGGAAAACGGTGCAGACTTCCCCACTTAGCTGAGATGGTTCAGACCCCTGACATTTTGCTTGTGAAAAAAAATTACCACATTCAAACTGAACAGCAGCTTTCTTGCTGAGTTGATTATGCAGCTTGCTAAATTAAGATATACAAAGATAACAGACAGTGTTTCACTTGTTCTTTTAGGGTTTCTTGATTTTCTGTGACCAACAGCAAACTAAGATTTTTGGTTTCAGTACTGGTGATGTTTGTTTCAATCTTGTTTAAAAGTATAACATATGCCCTGAAGTTTTCAGTCTCAGATAGTTATTACAACTGCAAATTAAATTGCAACCAGGCATACCAATTAAGTTGTAAACCCACTTTGAAAGCTGACACACAGAAACGAAGAGCATTTCGAACATGGTTTTCTGTTTCGTTATTGATAATCATTACATCTTGGTCATTTTCCAATATGAGTCTCAGCTGTTGATTCCCTGTTGTCCTCCAGGCATCCAGCTGCAGGGTAACCAGTGTTTTCTTTACTGCAAAATCTCCATTATGTCCTTGTGAGTCACAGCTCTTCCTGCAGCTACAGACCCATTAAACAAAATTGTCCAGTGGCAGCTTCTGACCTTGGCTAAGCTAAAGGAGCTAGCCACTTCAAGCTAAAGGAGCTAGCCGCTTTGGACAAGAGACTTCAATGCACTGAACACGAATCCAGTGGATTTGCAGCGCTCTCAATATTTTTGTGAAGTGTAACGCTCTCAATGTTTTGTTTTTTTCTTCGGGACTTCAACTCTTTGTTTTTGTAACAGGCCTGCAACGTTTTTTCACACTCTCCTGGAGGTCGTGAGTAACCCAACTGCCAGGGTTACATTTGTTTAAGACTGTTGTTGTGTTCTGGTTCATTGGAATCAAAAGGTGGACATTAATGTCTTAATATTTTTTGCCTTATGTTTATGTTTTGTAAATATTATTGAATGGTCGTTCAACTTTGAAGTTACAGGGGTGACTAACTAATAGGTTTCCTGTCACTTTAATAAAGTTAGGCTGAACCATTTCGCCTAAAATTCTAAACTTTCTCTGGGTCATATTTGTCATAAATTAGGTAATCGGTGCCGCACAACAATTGGGGTACGGGAGGTAGATGGAACCCAGCACCCTCCATTTTAGTTTCTTTACATAGAATGGAAGAAGGTGCTACACCTGTTTTATCAAAGATACAACAACTTTGGGCTTCTTCACGGTCCAGATTATTAAATTATGATTACAATTATCATCTAATTCCATGTACAGATTTAACTCTAATCTTAATTTAACTGGAACCTAAAAAAGTCTAAACGTGTTAAATCACGTTTTTCATGTTTGGTATGAAAACTAGTGATGGTGAGATGAAGCCTCATGAGGCATTGAACCACTTGATCCAAATGGTTCGAGAAATGGTTCATTTCCTGAAGCTTCATGTGCTCACGAAACCACCTACTGGCCAGGTGTATAATCACAGCCAGCTGTATCTCAACATGTGTGATGCATTGAATATTTGTCTATTATGGCTCTTGGGAATGACGTCACAAAAGGTGTGACGTCACAATCATTTGTCTACATAAATTATGTACATACATATGTGTACAATAAAATATTGTTTGAATGTATTCTCTGTGTAATTTTTCTCCAAATAGTTGTGTCATGTGATATGTCATGTTGTGTAATAATGTTTATCTGGGAAAAATGGCTTAATCAGGCAGAGGACA